CCAGGTCTCGGTTCAGACACTTACCAATTGTAATAACCATCTTCACCTTGTCCTGGCCACTGTCCAATGCCAAACCTACTCTCTTTCCAGTCCTCCATCTTGGTGAGCGGGCTCGCCATCCTTCCCATTCTTCAGGCCGAAACCTTGGCATTATCCCTGATTCCTCTCTTGCTCTCACATCTTACATTCAATTCTTCAGAAGACCCTGACCACTCCACCTTCAGAATACACCCAGAATGCACCGTGGCTCCCACATCCACTGCCTCCACCCCCATCGAGGTCCCCGGGACCTCCGGGTCTTCTGCCCCTTCCTCCAGCAGTGGTTCCCAGACCCGGCTTCATGTGGGGAGCTTTACAAACTACGGATGCTTGAGTCCTCAGAGTCTGATAGAACTGGTTGGGTGTGGGCAGGCATTAAGCATTTCAAAAGCTCCCCAGGTAATTCCACTGTGCAGCCAGGGTTGAGAACCTCTGATATTGATGGAATTTAAATCCATGACTCTGACTGTGGTCACCTGGGAGTAAATATAGCTGGAGGAGTGGAGTGCAGGGGTCCAAAGACTGAGTACTGGGCTCTCCAATATGCAGAGGCTGAGGAATGAGGCGGAACCAGGAGGAGATGAAAAGGAGACAGATCCACTGCTTCAGAGGTGGAAAGGACCTTTGACCAATTGGACACATCGCTTGAGCTTTGGGTAGGAAGTCAGCTTCCCGGGGCCCACGGCAGCGTGGGGGAACAGAGGATGGGTACCTGCATCAGCTTCTCCTGGGCAAAGGGAAGGAGCAGGATAGACGTCAGGTGGCCAGGAAACATCTGCTAAACCAATAAGACAGTAATGACAGGATGACAACAGTAATGAAAATAAAAATAGTGTTAACTGTATCAGCTCAGGGTGCCATAACAAATACCATAGGCTGGCTGGCTTAAACAACAGAAAGTTCTTGTCTCACAGTTCTGGAGCCTGGGAAGTCCAAAAGTCAGGTCCAGCAGGGTTTGACAGCTAGTCGGGACTCTCTTCCTAGCTTGCAGAGGGCTGCCTCCCCCTGTGTCCCGTCATGGCCTTTCCTCCAAGAAAGGCAGAGGGTGGGGGGAGGAGAGAAAGGGGGGATCTCTTCCTCTTCTTATAAAGCCACAACTCCTGCTGGATTAGAACCCCACCCTTATGACCTCAGTTAATCTCCATTACCTCCTAAAAGCACTGTCCTCAAATACAGTCACATTGGGTGTTAGGACTTCAGCATAGGAATGGGGGGGGGGGGGGGGCAGACAAAATTCAGTCCAGAGCATGAATGCATCCATGAAATAGAACGTTCCTGCCTGCCTTAGAGAGGTCTTATGAGGTTAACTGATGCCTGGCATATAATAGGAAGTCAAGGAATGTAGAATATTATTAGATTAATTACGAGTTGTTAATATTTGCAGTTAACCTTAGGTCAAGTTTGTACCCCAAATATCCTGTTCCACCATTTCTCCATCTTTTCAAATGCTGTCTCCTTCTCCTTTCTCTTCTGCAGGCTAATTCCTACTCTTCCTTTAGGTGCAGAGCAGACCCCTCAGGGAAGGTCTGGGACTCCTCCTCGGGGCTCCACAGGCTCCTGCACAAAAACCCTTTCCCTAGCACTCAGCACTTTGGGTTATGATAGATCTCATTTTCCCCTTTAGACCTTCAGCCTCGTGAGGAAAACAGCTGGGTGTTTTCCTCGGTACTCTCAACGAGCAGCCCGGGGCTGCTACAGAGAAGGCTCAGTAAAGGTTAAGAGAACAAATACGTCACTTAAAGAGTGATTAATTATAGCAATGAATATAAAACAAGCCTTTAAAAAGCCAACTTGTACAGATTAGGGATGGCTCTTATAATCATGCCAGAGAAGATGTTGCCTCTGTCTTAGGAAATGAACATCGTAGAATGGTTGGGTCCTGTCACTGGACTCATGGTCTTCCTTTCGGAAACCTAAACTTTATAGGGAAGCTGGCCACAGGCCCCCGGATATCACAGCAGTGCCCTATCAAGTGTGAATGTCTGTCTGTCCTACTCTGGCCTTAACCCAGGAAAAGCCCTGGCTATCCCATGGTTGTGTCCACCTAAGTTCCGTCCAGCCTTCAGGCAGCTAAGGCAACCAGGGAGGCCAGTCCAAAAGACAAAATGACATTCAAGCCAATGCCTGAATGGTGAATCAGAATTATCCAGAATATTAGTCTATGTAGGGCAATTCGTGTCACAACCCTAAATCTTAGTGGCTTAATGTGAATACAAGTTTGTTTCTTGTTCATGTCACAATCCACTGAAAGATAGTGGGACTCTGCTCCACACAGTCATGCAGGGACCCAGGTTCCTTCTGTCTGGACCTTCCTCCAGATCTTTGAAGTCTCTTCTCTTCAGAGAGTGGATGGGGATAGAGCAGGACTGTCAGGGGATGTTTTAATGGGCTGAGCATGAATATGGCAACACTTCACTCACATTCCATCGGCCTGAACCCAGTCTTTCAGTCACACCTAACTGCAAGGGAGCCTGGGAAATGCAGTCCAGCCGTGTCCTCGGGAAGAAGAGGAGAACATGTCCATTGTTGTTGAAACGTGTGCAAGAAGAGGGAGGGTACCCCAGACAGATGGACCATTGTGTGCAAGGGCCAAGAGGAATGCCAGCACGGCGTACTGGGAAACTGCCACATGCGCAGCCTGGCCGGCCCTGGGTGTAGAAGGAGAGAAGTGACTGTCTTGGGCATCAAGATTCTCTGGCCTTTAAAGGGCCATGGGCAGAGCTCATGCTCAAGACCATCACTCAGAGTCAACTTGGATCAAATGGCTAAAGTTTCTTCCAACTTCGACAATCGAATATTCTGTGAGCAAATGATTTCAAAGGATTTTTTTAAACAATGTTTTAAGTATTCATGTCATATGGTTCAACATGTTAAAAGTGAAAGAGGGTCAATCATGACAAATCTCCCTCCCACCTGACAGTGGGTGTCTCTCACACCCACTTTTCCCTGGGGGCAGCCAATGCCATCGGTTTCTTATATATTCTTTCAGTAGTGTTTTATGCATGTCTAAATAATATGTATATCTGTAGCCTTCCCTTTGCCCATTTTTGCACTAGTTGTAGCATGCTAAGCATACTATCCTGAACCTGACTTCAGTCTGAGAGATTTTTTCATAGCAGTTTACAAAGAACATCTTCACCTTTTGGATGACCGCGTAGAACTCAATTCATTATACAACTGTACCACTAAGACATTCTCCTAGTGATAGATGGTTAGGTTGTTTCCAATTTACAAATAAACTTGCAGGAATTAAGTTTTACATGTTATTTCGCACACGAATAGGTCTATTTACAGGATAAACTCACATGAATGGAACTTTGGATGAAAGGATCACACTCTTCTAACATGACCAGGTGAACCACCAGGTCTCTGTACCAGTCCTCCTGTCTCTGCTCCTGCTTACCCCCACCTAGTGATGCAGACCCAGTGACACTCCTGAGGGCTGCTGTGCCCAGCCAGTAGCCTCTGGCCTGGGTCGCTGGGCAGGGACCGCCCTTCAGAAAATGGCAGTGCCCAGTGTGGTCTCCCGGGATTCTTGGACAAAGACCTCTTGGGGAGGCCATCCCACAATCCCTTTTGTGGTCCCACATCAGGGACACCTGTTTCCACGGCCTCCCTTCACCCACCAGCTCAGCCCCACCTCTACCCCCACCTCCAGCCCGGTGACTTCACCCCTCACGCCCAGCACGGAGGCAAAGCCCAGCGAAGGCCAGGGAAGCCGTAGTAGCCAGAACAACGCTGCCTCCAAAGACATCCATGTCCTGACCCCCCAAACCTGGGACTATGTTGCCTTACATAGCAAAAGGGACTTCATGATGTAAAGTTAAGGATCTTGCCATGGGGGCTTACCCTGCATTAGCTGGGTGAGTCCAAGGTAATTACAAGGGTCCTTAAAACAATGGGAGGCAGAAAGTGAGAGCCAGAGATGGGGAGATGTTACTAAGCTGCTGGCTTTGGAGACGAGGAGAGGGCCTCCAGCCAGGGTGAGTAGGTGGCTTCTAGAAACCGGGAAAGGCAAGGGAACGCTTCTCCCCTAAAGCCTCCAGAAGAAACACAACTCTGCTCACACATGGATTGTAGCCCAGGGAGACCTATTTTGGACTTCTGACCTTCAGAGCTGCAAGATAAATTCCTATTGTCTTAAGCCACTAAGTTTGCAGTACTCTGTTATAGCAGAATGGAAACTAATACAACAGTCCGTGACCTGCCCACGCAGGAGCCCCGGACCGCCTGTCTCCTGCGTCCCCAGCCGCCCCCCCCCACCCAGACAGCCTGGCTCCACCTCCCTGCCCTACTTGCACACATGATCTCCGAGAGCCTCGGTTCTGTCGTCTGCAAAATGCAGCTCACGACCACACTGTCGTCACAGGGCTGCTGTGAGGACTAAACGAGATGATGCTTCTGGAGTCTCTTAGCAACTGTGCCTGGCACCAAATTGGTGCTTGATGATATTTTTAGTTGTTGAGCATAATTCTGAAATTTTCATTTCTGCTCCCAGAACCCGCTCCCGCTCTGGCCCTGGCGAGGGCCCGGCTCTCCCCGAGGGGTCGGCCCCTTCCTGCAGTGCAGGGACCGTCAGGGGACACACTGTCTCCTTCTCAGCAGCCCTGCGACGTCAGTGATGTCTTCACAGCAGAGGGACCTCAACCCAGGTTCAAATCCTTTGTTGCCACTTGGCAGCTCGGTGGCGCTGGAGGGGTTGCCGCTGTGTCCTCATTGGAGGAACGCCCACAGCGGCCCTCCCGCGGTGTCGGTGTGCGCATGCGCGGTGGCGCTGGAGGGGTTGCCGCCGCTGTGTCCTCATTAGAGGAACGCCCACAGCGGCCCACCCGCGGGTGTCGGTGTGCGCATGCGCGGTGGCGCTGGAGGTGTTGCCGCTGCGTCCTCATTGGAGGAACGCCCACAGCGGCCCTCCCGCGGGTGTCGGTGTGCGCATGCGCGTGCGCGTAGCTGGGCACGTGGCAGTTGGGGAGACTGCTTGTCTCCCAAGTGGAGTAGGCGCCACCTCTCAGCCGGGGCTTGGACTGGGTTTGGTGCACGCGGGAGCCCAGCTGACGCACAGCCCCTGTTTGAGAAAGAGCATCGGCACTTACAGACGAGCCGTCGGGCTTTAGACGGGGCCTCGACCCCCTTAGCGCCCCGTTGCTCTCACCCCCTCCCCTGTGGTGTCCAGGCCACACACATCCCGGGACGGTCCCTCCCAACCTCTCTGGGTTCGCCCAGGAGCCCGAGCTGTCCTGGAACTGCCAGAGGCAGTGACCGCCTTGGCCCTCCGGCTCCCGTGGAGAGCAGGCAAGACTTTCGCTTGAACAAGTGCGAAATCTCTCCCCGGCGAGGTCTGCTCCTTGGAACAGAGCAAACGGTTCATTTCCCCCTCGCTTTGACAGGAGGGTTGCTGGATTTAGCAATTAAAAATACTGACACCAAATTTAATTTGAATTTCAGATATCCACAAGTAATTTTTTAGTATAAGTAAGTCCCAAATATTGTGTGGGACATTTAACTGGCTTTCCTGAATTTTATGTGGCAGACCTGCTGTCAGGGACCAGCGAAGTCGGGTTCAGTGCCACAGGAGATGAAATGTGCCTTAACAGTGGGACCTCTGGCTCTTTCTTCCTAAGCAAGGATGTGGCTGTTCAAACTCCGGGTATGTTTTTCAGAAGTGTCCCTGCTGTGCGAAGTAGCTAGCGCCTCGATCTTCAGCAGAAGAATAACCAGTGGCAGACGAAAGGATATGGGACAGTTGCCCTGAGCAGGTTAGTGAAGTGACCGAAGGCCACACCCGGAGGCAGATGGTCAGGGCGGAAATCAAAGCTCTGGAGCCGAGGGAATCCTACTTCTCCTCTCTGAGCCTCTGTTTTGCCGCCTGTAAAATGACAATGCCTATACCCTTGGGCAGCATGAGGATTAAATAGGAAAACATACATGTGAAATATACATAAGGAGGTAGCTATCCCCATGTTAGGTTTTTACTGACAGCCATTTAGGAAAACAGACATTTTCCCACACAGGTTGGGAGTCTCAGGGGTACCCAGGTGGTCCCCAGCCGGGCACACCTCTGTGTGGAACCCTCTGCTCTGTTCTGCGCTGGACACGCCTGTGTGCATCACCTCTGCAGTAGGTGCTGGCAGATGGCCGGCTGGGCTGTTTCTCCAGGACTGCCTTGGATCCCCAGCCTCCTCCTGCCTCCTGGCTGCAGTTCCGTGGCCGCAGACTGTAGCGGGCGGCTGCTGCCCGTTCCCCACCTCCGCTCTCCCTCTGCCGCCCTCAGGCGCGCCGGGCTCTTCGCTGGGCCTGCCCCTGCGCAGTGACCACAGCTCGCTTAGCCCTGACAGCACACGGCAACACGGCACGGCACGGCACGTCTTCAGTGAGCCCCGCAGCCACCCTAGAGCAGGCACCAGCCCACCCATCTCAGATGATGCAAAAGCCAAAACTCAGCCAGGAAAGGAAGGTTTTGTGAGCACGTACTGTGTGCTGGCATGCCACGTGCATGGCACTGTGGTTTAGAACAGGCAGATTTTGTTGTTGTTGCTATTAATGAACTATCATCAAACACTAGAGAAGCATGATAGTACAAATGGCTTCTTTCCCACATTCAAGGGCTCTGACCTCTCTAGAGGTTTCTCAACCTCTGTCCTGTGGACATCGTGAGCCAGATAATTGTTGTCGGGTCCAGACCATGCATTGTGGGATGTTTAGAAGCACCCTTGACCCCTAGACACTAGATGCTGGGGGTAGCCCCCATTTGTGACACACACACGTCTCTAGACATTACCAAATTTCCCCCGGGGCTGGGGGTGGAGGGTGCAAAATCACCCCGGCAAGAACTACTGCTCTAGAACAATCACTGCTAATAGTTTCTTGAGAATTTTTTGGGAATATTTCTAAGCACATGTGTATGCCTTTAAAAAAAAGACAGGTTCATATATACAGCTCTTCCACCACTTGTTTTTTAACTTACCTATCTATTGTGCACATCTTTCTGTAAACGCACACACAGGTCTGCGATTCTCCTTTGCACACCTGTGCGGTTTTTCTCTGCGGTTCTGCTGCAATGGATGTAGCCAGTTCCCTCCCAGTGGGCATTTGTGTGGGTTCCAGCATTCTGCTGTTACAAACAGAACTCCCGTCAGCATTCTTCCTCACATCTCTCAATATATCCATAGGATAAACTCCCCGAAGTAGCATTGCTGGGCCAGAGGCATGTACACTTTCAATTTGATCTGCCACATTGCTATCCAAAATCGTTTACACCACTTTACTCCATTGGCGCCAATATCTTGATGAAGAGTACCAAATACTTAGTGAGCATTTGCTGTGTTTCAGGCACTGTGCTAAGTAATTTGCACGTGCCATCTCATTTAATTCTCCCTACAATTCCATTTGGTAGGAACTGATATTATTTCCATTTACAAATGAAAGAACTTTGGCTTAGAGAGACTGAGTCTTCTAAGCTTGTCAGTGGTGGCACTGGAACCTAGAGCGTCTCAGACTAAAACCTATTCTCTTAACCAAACATTTAGTCTTCATAACAGTGCTGTAAGGTAGGCCTATTATTCTCATGCTCTAACGGGATTACAGAAGCCCTGGGCAGTTAAAATGACTTGCCCAGAGCTACAGAACCTAACCACAAATCTGAGCCAGAATTTGTTTTCCCACTGAGGCTCCAGTGCCACCTCCTCCAGGAAGCTGTCTGGGATTACTCCAGCCATCCTCATCATCTGACCTCCAATAGCATCTCCCAGGAGCCCGAGGAATCTGCAGCAGGCCTTTTAGCCTAGAGCAGGTAAGTGTATGGTGGGTAGGACCTCACAGGTATTGCAGTCAGACAGTCCTAGATGAGAAACCTCTCTGCCATCTAACCTCCGAAGTAAACCTGGGCAAGAGACCACCCCTCTTGGGGCCTCAGTCATTCATCGTCACAGTCCTCGCCACCACTGTTGTTAATGGTAGCCATGATAACAGTGGTCACCATGATGCAACGCCGTCTCTGTCCCATGTTTACAGTGGGCAGTGCTTCCATTTGGATCCCCCCAGAAGGAGACACTGAGACAAGGAACTGGGGCAAGGTGTTCATTTGGGAGGTGACCCCAGGAGCTTGGTGAGGGAGTGGGGAAATGACACGGACGGAGCCATGCCATTGGGTGGGGTAAATGAACAGGGAGTCGCCGCCCCAGCCCATCTGGGCTCCATCCACTGAGGGCCTGCCTCTCCGTGGCTGGAGGTCGCTCCTGCCTGATGGACCGGGAGGCCTGCCTGCAGCCTTGGAGGGGGGGCTGCCTGCAGGTGACCAGTAGCAAGGCCTGCCTGCAGCCTTGGAGGGGGGGCTGCCTGAAGGTGACCAGTAGCAAGGCCTGCCTGCAGCCTTGGAGGGGGGGCTGCCTGCAGGTGACCAGTAGCAAGGCCTGCCTGCAGCCTTGGAGGGGAGGGGCTGCCTGCAGGTGACCAGTAGCAAGGCCTGCCTGCAGCCTTGGAGGGGAGGGGCTGTCTGCAGGTGACCAGTAGCACAGCCTGCCTGCAGCGGTCAGGGTGCTTTCTGGGCCCAGGCCCCCAGTAGCTTCTGTGGCTTTGGCTCTCCAGCCTAGGCAGGGCTCTGCTCAAGTGCCATCTCTTAGAGAGGGCTTTCTGAATGTCCCTGCCTATGAGCCCCTTCCCTACCCGGACGATTCTCTTCATAAGTTTGGTCAGCCGGAACTTTGCTGTGTGTTATCTGCTTGTGTATTACCTCCTGCTCCCCACTGAAATGTCCAGCTCCATGAAGACAGAATTCCATTTCAAGCTTTATTCTCAGCCTTAAAATATCGCCTGAGCTTCAGGTTGGGTGGGAAAGGCAGGGGAGGAGGGGGTGGTTGAATAGGCAGAGCACAGGAGATTTTTAGGACAGTGACTCTTATATGACACTTCGGGTGGGAGACGTGCCAACTGTGTCTTTGTTCAAAAACCCTCGCTCGCGGCTGGGCATCGCGCGCCTCATGTCAATGATCCCAGTACTCTTCGCGCGCGAGGCTGAGGTAAGAGGATCGCTTCTCGCGCGCTTGAAGGCCAACTGGGCGCAAGACCCCCATCTCTACAACCAAAATAAAAATTAGCCGAAGTGTGATGCCCACACCTGTAGTCCCAGTTACTCAGGAGCCTGGACAGGAGATTGACTGAGTACCTAGGAGTTCAAGGTTGCAGTGAGCTCTCGCATGATGCCATTGCACTTTACCTCGCGTGATCAGAGCAAGACCTTGTCTTAAAAAATAAAATAAAAATAAAAACCCCGCGTCAAAAAGTGAAATCTTAATGCAAACTGTGACTCTTAGTTGACAATAATGCATCTCTCTCGCTCTCATTGTAACCGAATATACCACCCTCGCTCTCATAATCGCGCGCTCGCGCGTGAGGTTTAGAAAGTATATTGACGCTTCTCTGTACTTTCTGTTCATATTTTATGCCCCTTAAACTGTTAAAAAAGTCTACTAGTTAAAAAGCACCGGGCACATGCAGGTACCTAGTAAATATTGCTGATGACTGAAGTGATCAACTGTTCGCATCCCCTCCCCGAGGTTCCCTCGTGCCCTGCGTGGTGCTGTGGAACTACTGAGGCACAAGGCACGACCCTCCAGATACGGTTACAGAACTAGCAGAACCCCACGGTCAGGAGTAGGCACAGTCTCGCTCGCTCAATCGATTCTTTTAATGAGCTTCTGTAAATGCCTGCCGCAGGCCGTGCTCTGTCACCTCGCGCTCGCGCTGCGGCGCTGCTACTGCGTCACCCGTGCGACAGCCCCCCCTCACCAAGGCTGCAGCAGTGCCTGTGCTACTGGTCACCTGCAGACGCCCCCTCCATG